TCTAGTTCTAGTAGTCAACTCTATTTCCCTCCCTTAGGGCCTTTATTAAGAGGGTTATTATTAGGATTTCGCTTAGTTAATAATCCTTTATATAATGTCTAGGTTTCCTGCATGTAAAATAGAGTCCTCTTGCGCTAGCAATTAATCATTAAGGATATGGTATATATCTATTTATAAGGGTAGGCCTCCTAGGCAGGGCATATAGTTGCCCTAGGGTATTAATATTTATAGTATCTAGTGCTCCTATTAGCCTGTAGATATATTGCGCGGCGACAACCCTTTTCTTATAGAGAGCAAATTTTGCGACAACCCTGGCTAAGGTGGTTAGTTTATTAAATTTATATACTCACCATCCTTAGAGTTATTTTTAGCTGCCTATAATAAATCATTAGATGAGTATATTCTCTACTAGTGAGGGATTAATTTAGTTTGCGACTTCCACCAATTTATGGGCATATATCTAAATAGATTGCTTTTCTTAGGTGAGACTCTTATACGCCTCCTAGTGGTGTTCCTCACTAAGGTATTTAATATAGTTATTAGTAATCCACTTCTTAAATTCCGCCATAGTTTTAATGGGGGCGTGGAGCTTATTATTAATAGAGCTCTATAAATGCCTCTATTATTTATGCGCCTCATTATTAAGTTTCTATTTTGCCACTAGAATCTTCTCTCTATTAGTAGTAAACTTCTTATATAAGACTTCTTTATCTTAAAAGTATTCATCCACTTGCTGCAGCCATTTTTGGGCGCCCTTATCTTAATATTCACCTATATATTTAGGGATCTAGTTAAGTTTTAAGATCTTTTAGTAGGGGCGTCTACTTTAGTTATTAGGATTATTAGTTAACTCCTAATGGCTAGTTTTCCTAGCGGCTGCTTAGGTGTCATTCTGGGGACCTAGCTGCCTAATAGTCACTTAGCGGAGGTTATCCTAAAGTTAAGCCACCTATATATGGGCGGTCTTAAGTTTCTAGACCAGGTGGTTCACTTGGCCTCTTTCGCCTTAGAGCACTTACTCTAGGTGTCTAAAAAGGGGGTGAATATCTGTCCTATCTATCCTGGCGGTTATAATTATTAAGAGGATTTTAAACACCTTAGGCGATAGGTGGTTCTACATATTACTAATAAGATTTATTATTAACTTATAGTGAAAGATTAAGTCTTTTATTCACTTAGTTTCTTTAGTAAAGATGCTTAATAATTCTTCTTTCTTTACTTAAGGGGTCTTTTGTCCCTTTTATCCTACTTTTAAATCTTATTAATCCTTAGATATTGTCTGTAGAGCAGCAGTCCGTCGGGGTCAGCACAGGGGCTAACCCCTAATATAATATACTACTAGATATAATATTTAAAAGCTAATAATCTTTAAGAAATCTCTATTCTATTACTACCATGGGTTAGAGGGAAGGTATTTATATACCTCCCCTTAGCTCATTAAAAGCTAAGCAACCTGGTGGCGATAAAACTCTATAGAATTAATTAATCCCTAGTATAGAGCGAAAACTCTATATAACTGCTCCATCAGGGTTGGGAGATTTCGCGTCGTCAGTGAGCGGGCACCCTGGCGTTCCGCCGAGGTGATCCCACTCATGGCCACGCGGGAGTTCGCGATATCGCTCGCTCGCGATATCACAATATAGATTATATATATTATCTCTTTTATAATATACTACTTTATAAGCTACTATAGGTCTTTTAGGCTCTCTATAGCTATCTCTACTTATTCTTAATATATTATTATAAGTATCTTTTTTACTAGGTGTAACTTTTTATTCCTTTATAATTAGCTATAGCCCTAAAGTTCCTTCTCTTAATATCCTCTTATTATAATATATTTATATATAGGGTTATTTCTATTAAATAGTGGTCTAAATTATAGTATAGATTTATTTAGACTTTATTCTAGATTAGGGTCTCCTCTAATATATAGAATATCACTATTAAGTCTATAGTTAAGAACTATTATCCTCTTTATTATATTAAAGATCTAGTAGTAGTGATTAAGGTAAGGTTCTATATACCTAAAATATCTGAGAGTCTTATAACTTTTAAGTTAGCCCTTATTCTCTCTTCTCCTTATAAAGGGTAGTATAGATTAAAGTCTTTAAAAGCTATATAGTCCTCTATTATTTCTAAAATAGCCTTTTATAGCTATATTAAATCTCCTCTCTTCTACTTTTAATTAATATAGATATTATATATATATATTATATAATTCTTAACTCTTAAGGATTATATTTATAAATAAGCTATATATATTATTATAGTCTAGCTATTAATATTAAATCTTTTATTAATAAAGAGATAGACACCTATTACCTTCTTTATATCTAGATATAATAAATAATATATTTATTTATTTAAGTAGTGAGTTAAGTTTATATATAGATTTCTTTATAATTCTTAAATAGTAATAATGTTAAAATTAGTTACTCTTAAGTCTTAAAGAAATATAGCTAAGACTTAGTCCTTAAACTTCTTAATATTATACTATAGTATAGATAGTTTTAGATATTTATTTATTATAGGGGGTAAATATCTTAATTTTTTTTATTATTAATATTAGGCTAGTATTAAGGGCTTCTCTAGCTACTCTTAATATAATTATAATACTACTTATATTATATATACTTATTTTTATTAAGTTATTTATTAAGGGTGCTTCTTAAAAGGTAAAAGCTTTTTTATTATTATTTATAGAGGCTTCTTTCTTCTTCTTCTCTTCCTTAAAGGGTTTACCCTTTATATTAAATTAGATCCTCCTTCTTTAGTAGAGCACCTTCTTTAGAGAGGTAATTATATAGCTTCTCTTTTTATAATTCTATATTATTAAGATTATTAATAGTTAAGGCTATAAGTCTATTCTTATATTTTTATTACTACTAATTTTAGTCTTATTTTTAGGTTATTAGTTATAATCTTAAGCTTCTTTATTTAAGCTTATTTATAATTAAATAAATATTATTAAGCTAAACTTATAATAAAAGTAAGGTTTATTATTAAGTACTATATATACCCTCTTATACTTAGCTTTAATATATAAGTATTTTTTATTTTAGGTAGTATACTCCTTTTTATAGTTTAGATACTTTAATTTTTTATTTTATATCTTAATATTATAAGAGTAGTTACTATAAGGTCTAAAGTAGTATATATATATCTAGATATTAAAGTATTAACTTTCTATATACCTAAATTTAGAGTAGTTAAAGTATTACTTTAATTTTATTTCTTAAAAATAAAGTTTATATATATATAACTCTATCTCCTAGATTACTCCCTAATAAATAACTATATTAATTATCTTTAGAATAAAGAATTTAAAAATAGTAAAAGAGTTCTTCTTCTTTATTATATTATCTTAAAATTATTTAGTTTTTATAAGCTTATTTAACTTTAAGGCTAGCTAATAATATTAATTCTCTCTTATAAGCCTCTTAATAAGCTTTAATTAATCTTTAATTTAAAAGGTTTTATAATTTAGGCTATAGGCTATTACTTTTTATATTTATTACTATATCTTTATATTCTCTTTAAAAATCTCTTATTATAGTTTTATCTAGATATAAAGGGTTTTTACCTCTATAATATTATATCTCTTAATTAAAATATTATTTAACTTAAGTTATTATATTATTATAACTTATACTACCTTAAGGGTCTTAACTCTATTAATAATAGTAAATTAATATATTTATTTTATAATAATTCTTTATAGATTAATAAGAGTCTTAATATAGAGGCTCTTAATTATATAGCTATCTTTAATATAAATAATTATATAATTATTATTATTAAGTTTAGTTATATAAGTTAAGAGGCTTAATAAAAAACTTTATATAACTATTCTTATAATTAAAGAAAAGAGGGCTATAGTAATTATTTATATTTATAAAACTACTCTTATTAGCTATTTTATACTATTAATACTTTACTTAATATTAATATTTATCTTAATAGAGGTAATATTATACTAAAGAGAGATAATATTATTATTATATTTAAATTAAAAGCTTATTATTAGTTTTTAAAGCTCTTTTATATTTAATTAATAAATAATCTCTTAAAAGGTCTTAAAAGACTTCTTTAAGATCTTAATAATAGACTCTAAAATCTAGATCTTCTTCTTCTTTATATAATTAAGTATTATAGTAATATTATACTATAGGATGCTTATATATTTATTAATATTATTTAATTAAGACTTATTTTAAATTATAAGATTTAGTTATTTCTTACCCTTCATTATTATAAGGGTTATAGATATAATATCTAGTTATAGCTCTAGATATAAGGAGTAATTTAATATTAGTCTTAAGGTGTATAACCCCTAGGTTATAGTGTGATTTCCAAGAATTCGGTTCGCGCTCAGGTAGTTGTTTTTTTTGAGATCAGGTCAAGAAGGTGAAGAAAGCGGTGCCTGTTTATGAGATTCTTTAGACAGGCCAGGTGGTCATTGAAGCATCACGGCGTTTGGGCTTGAAACATCGATTGTATTACGCCGAGTAACTCCAGATTGTCAGAATATAGCAGAATTTACAGTGTATTAGTCTTCGTATTTATGTACTCGCTGTGGAGCTGAATCTTCCTAAACCCGTGCCCCTTTATGCCCGCAATTACTGGACAACACAAGCAAGAGGTGCTATATGATGACAACAAGTTGAGTTTTTTGCAGCAAAATCTTCACCATGGTCAACCATCTAAGCGTAATGGATGTATCTAACGATTTTTGATAACTGATCCTTAAATTATTAGATTCCCAATTCTCTTAACACTATTTATATATTCATTGATAATATGAATTAGGGCAAAAGTTTTTAGAAAAAGCTGAAAACATGAGCAATTAGCCATGCCTCTACGCACTATAAGATTATAACTAAAAGAAAAAGTTCATATTAATAAAAGGACAATGATCAGCGTTAGCTAACATAGATCATTATTATATTCTAAACATTATATAAGGAATAATATTTAAAATATTATTATAGTACTATAACTTATTCATCTGACGGTTTTATATCTCTTTCAGCATATAGAACATGGCCAGTATAGCGCCCCTCTTCGTCATGGTAAATATGAACTGGCTGGACTTTCTTGTTCTTGTATTGTTCCTCGGTTGCTAATAATGCTGTGGCGTGCGCCTTGAGGTCGGTATGACTCGTGTGCGACGGGTTTCTGTAATGGTAATTTTATTAGAAATACCGACCGTATAGTATTGACATTTTGCTTACTTGAGGGTGGCGATAGTGAAATGCGCTAGGTCCGGCTTTTCCGTAGCGGTTTCGATGAGGGTTAGGGTACGATTACGCAGGATAGAGTTGCGGATTCTCTGGGTGAATTTAACAGCATGCCGAGGAATGGGGGACATGGTGGCCTCTGAGCTTCATAAATGTTTTGTATGGATTAAATCTGTGTTTCAATCTTCGTAGTAGATTTCCCAAGAGCAGCAGGACACACTATATATATTCTTCCGTCAGGTGCAAAGGCCTGGTTAGCGCCGCCATAGTTGCGCTTTCCTAGGCTCTGGCATAGTGCCCCAATGGCCAGGATAGCTTCTTTAAGAGTGCATAGGCGCCCGTTTCATACTGACACGTCGTTGATTGACATGTTCAAGAGGTGGCGATGCTGACCAATCAATTGCCGCTGGGAAGTCTGAGGCTGCTTTTCAGGTCATGTGATTGGCTATTTTTGCCACGTCATCTGCGTCCAGGGCGCGGAGGACATATTCACGTATTTTGGACTCATGACGATATTAATATTATCTGTACCGACAATATCGGTCCAATATGAGGAACATAGCCTGCTTTCTACAGAGACGTATTGTTCCCTTGAGAAGTTCTTGCATTTTCCACAAGTTCATGTCTACCAATGCCGACAAGAGTACGATGGACCAGCCTACCTATATTTCCCCCATTGATGCGGAGCCACTTCATCGCTACCGTCAAGGCGGTTACCACCCTGTCATCTTAGGAGAATACCTTAAAGCTGGAAGGTACAAAGTGTTGCATAAGTTAGGATGGGGTGGCTACTCGACAGTTTGGGCGGCGAGAGATCAAAGGTAATACCTACAAGGTGTAACGCACGGTAGTCCCAGCTAATCTAAACTTACCCATGTAGGACAGAGACTTACGTCGCTGTGAAAATTTCTGTTGCAGAAAAGGAACATGATAGGGAGACGCGAGAACTCCAAACCATGAGAGAACTGGCATCTTATCACCCTAGTCCGACGCATGTGGTGCAGTTGCTCGATGATTTCGATCTAACGGGTCCAAATGGATTTCATAAATGCCTCGTTTATGAGCTTTTGGGGCCAAACATTCCGGACGTAATTGATGCTCATTTTTCCGGTGGGAGACTCCCTGGAAGGCTTGCTAAAATCATTGCCAAGCAAAGTCTTGCCGGGCTCAATGATTTGCACCAACAAAATATTGGACATGGAGGTATAGTAACTCACTCGCCTGGGGAGAAACTGAACAATTCTCACCTGAAATAGATTTGCACACTCGCAATTTGGCCTTCACCATGCCTTGCTTGGATAAGGTAACCGAAGACGTTTTCTTTGAGATTTTAGGAAAACCTGAAATAGGCCGTGTTGAGAGGCGCGATGGGAAAGACGTTGAGCTCGGCGTGCCGGAGTATATCGTGAAGCCCACCTCATATCGAACCCGTTCTTGGAACTCGACTCAGTTAATCAAAATACTTGACTTCGGAGAATCATTCTTATGTACCGCCGTTCCTCACACGCTGCACACTCCTTTGCCTGTTCGAGCACCCGAAGTCATATTCCAGGATCAAATTGATCATCATGTTGACTTGTGGAGTATGGGCTGCATGGTACGTGAAATGGTACAAGTCTCAACGCTATGCACGACTAAATTGATAACTATGACAGCTCTTTGAACTTTTCACGGGCCAGCCACCTTTTGATACCTTCCTAATAACACCCCCAATTCTCATCGGTCAAATGCAAGAGATGGCGAGTGACGATCTACCTAAAAGATGGCAAAAGATATGGGATACGATGAATAAAGGGGACGCCGTGACCGCGGAAAGCTCCGGGCCTAACCTCCAAGAATGGCTGGAAGAAGTGTATTTTGATGGACGCCGGACCCCTGATCTCACAAGAGAGGATATAATGAGGCTAGGAGAAATCATCGGACGCTTGTTGTGTTTTGAACCGTCGGCAAGAGCATCAGCGAGACAGATCCTCGATGACCCTTGGTTCAATGAGTAGGCTAGGCGGGCTGTTCGTGAGGAACTTGACCCTAGCTCGGGCCTAACAACTTCCTGAGACCTGTTCGATCTTCAACCCTGCATGCCGGAAATGGCCTCTAGCACTCTCTTCCTTTGCACCAACCACATTGATACACCATTCAAGGAAGGCAGCAAATCCTCTCTCGGGGTCTTTTTCGTAGTAATTCCAGTTACGCCGAATGAATCCCTTGAGTTTAGCAAAAAACTCTTCAATTGGGTTCAGGTCTGGCGAGTACGGTGGCAAATAGATTAGCTTCACCCCTGCGTCTTCGCACATTTTTACAAGTTGCTCCGACCGGTGAAATGACGCGTTGTCCATAACAAGGACAGATTTAGGTTCGGGCCATCTTCCGCAATGGTGAAGTAACTGGGCTATAAAGTCTTCAAATACGGTGGTATCCGTAGAACCGCGGAAGATACACGAGAGAACAATCCCATCCTGTGCGTACGCGGGCAATATCTGGTATCTCTGGTCATGATGGAATTGCGTTACTTGTAAAGGGGCCGTGCCAAGTGGTGCCCAACCTGTCCGTCTAAACCCAACGCGTTTATCACATCCGGATTCATCAACATATACGAGGTGGTACGATTTGAAGTCTGACAGATTATGTAGATAATAATCTCGCAAATTAGCATTTTGCTCTCTCGCACGTTGCCGTGCAGTCTTTTTTGACCAACCCTTAGCGACAAGGGCTGTCCTAATGCTGGAGGTTGTGACCATGGTCTGAAACTCATCCCAAAGGAATACAGCCATCTCGTCGAGGTATAGGCCAGGTTTCTCACATAGATGATCACAAAGTGCTGTAATCATCAGGGGTGTCACAGTTCGTTTCCGACCTACTCGGGTTTGAGGGGCGTAAATGCTTCCAAATTGTCGTAAGTTTCTGCGGATATTGATGATGGTTAGCTTGTTGCATTCAGCCTGCTCGGCCATTTCAGATGTGGTGAAGGACTGGCTCTCTATCATATCACGTATGAGAGCGAGCTTGGCAGGAGAGAGTCTTGGGGCCATATCGCCTGGAAGTAAATGGGTGCTTAGACTGGGTAGAACTTGTAGCTGAGATGCGTAGGGAAGTTGTCGGATGACAGAGAGGGAGGGGGAAGGAGGGGCTGTGTACTCCGTAGGTAGCGTGTGTATGGCGGTTCCGTGTAAAATACATCCCTCGCAGTCTGCTAATTGTATTATAAAATACAGCGACCATTATAGAAAGCGGTCTAAAAAGAGGCTTAAAATAGCTCATCCAATCAGAGCTCACATTTGACGGATTTTTTTTCCGGGAATGAAGTCGCAAGAGTGTGGAGGTATAACTGATTTTGCAAACTACTGTATTGTTGACTACAACAGATATACAGATACCCATCGTCGGATATACAGTTTCTCTTTACATCATTTACTTAACCATTTATTAACCATTTCCTATTGATATTCCTATTATTTGCATATTATCAGGGCCTAACCCTACTATATACTTATATATTATAGATAATATTTATCCCTAAAAGTTATCTAGTTAGTTAGTTTAATATTATCTTATTATTAGCTCTATATAGGGAGAATCCTTACATTATTTAGCTGAAAGATATTTTAAAGAGCACTATATTTTAATGTATTAAATAGTTAGGTTATAAGTATTAGAGGGCTTAAAAAAGACCTAAATTATATATTAAGTATACTAGAAAACATCTTAATTAGGCCCATAAGCATTAGGATTAGACTATAAATTAATAGTAATTAATTATATAGAGTAATAAATACTTTATTAAACTTGGCTATAGTAAGTAATATAAATAAGTCTTTTCTCTTGATATTATTAGTAAGAAATAGAAAAAAGAGCATATATAGCCTTATAAAAAGAGAAAGGCTCTATCCTTAATAATATAGGTATTAATATAGGGTGGTAGTTATTTAGAAATTAATTAAATAGTGTATAATCTTAAATTAAAGTATAGTAGCTATTTAATATAGCCCTATATCTAGATTCTTAATAAAAATCTTAAATCTATATAGAAATTAGGTATAATATTTATGCAGGATAATGCTGCCATTTATATAGTATATATAATTAAGGCATAGTTTAAAGATTATAGGATTCTTATTACTAAATAGTTATATTATAATATTAGCCACCTAGTGGTCTCATCAGGCAGAACAGTTAGCAGAGGACTTCTGAATAGAAGTATAAGGCTAACTCAGAAGGTTATATGATATCATAGCTAGGGCTATAATGAGAGGGCTATATAAGGACACTCATTTACCAGTGTATTTAGTTCTCCATGATTCTTAATAGACTGGCTATACCCGACCCGGAGAACCTGACCCAACCCGACCCGACCCGCGCCCAGGTCGGGTATGGGTTTAGGGTTTAGAACCCATGGGTATACCTATTAGGTGTCATACCCACCCATTGGGTATGGGTATACCCGTCGGGTTTAGGGTTTCTCATATGACTAGTTTTAAACCAATTAAATCTTTAGATATTCACTTTTTTATTAATAATAAATATATAGATTTCTAAGCCTAACCCTATTAGGAAGGTGATTAGCCTATTTAGGTAATCTAAGGTATATAAAATTATATGCCGGGTACCCACGGGTTACCCAATTAAAACCCGCCATACCCATGGGTGAGTATGGGTTTGCCCTAGGCATACCCAGAAACCCGGCGGGTTAGGAATCTAGTGCCCTAAACCCGACCCGCGGGTCGGGTTTAGCCAGTCTAATTCTTAAGAATAGCAATTACTTAAGTACCAGTCAATTTAAACAGACTCATATACTTATTCTTTCAGCTAAATGATATAAGGATTCTCCCTATATAGAGCCAATAATAAGATAATATTAAACTAACTAACTAGATAACTTTTAGGGATGAATATTATCTATAATATATAAGTATATAGTAAGATTAGGCTCTAATAATATATAAATAATAAAAATATTAATAAGAAATAATTAATAAATAGTTAAGTTAATAATATAAAGAGAAACTATATATCTAATAATAAGTATCTATATATTTATTATAGTTAATATACCCCTTTAGTATTAATTAGATTATTAATATTATAGTCCTTTATAAGGTTAATTATATCTAGTATTTTAATAAATCTCTAGTAA